CTGGGCAGGGTCTTACTTTTATAAGATCCTGTCTATAAAAATAAATAAATAATTTTTTAAAAGTATTAAAATGGCAAATTTTATGTATATATTACAATTTTTTTTTAATGTAGTGGTTGCCGAAAGGTTTTCAATATGCATCTTTAATTACAGTCTACTTACAAATGACATTTTACCACTTCACATGTTATATAAAGATCTCAGAATGGTATACTCCCAATTCTCTTTTCCATCATTTTTGTTATTACAGTTACATATGCTATACACACACAGCAAATTTCTACTAGTTTTGCTTCAAAGTTATCTTTTAGAGATACTGAAATTAAGAAAAAATGAACTTTGCATCTATCTACATTTATACCACTCCCATAATTCTCTGTGTAGATCCAAGTTTCTGTCTTATATCAAATTCCTTCTGTCTTAAGAAGTTTCCTTACTGTTTTTTGTAGTGCAGGTCTCCTGGTAATAAATTCCCTTACTTTCTGTTTTCCTTTAAAAAGTCTTTATTTCTCCTTCACTTTTGGATGAAATTTTTGCTAGATATAGAATTTCGGGTTAAGTTTTTTTCTTTCAACATCTTAAAAATCTTACCCAACTATCTGGGTTGCATAGTGTCTGAAAAGAATTTTCCTCTTTCTCTTTGGTTCTCAGTAGTCTGAATGTGATGTGTCTGGGCGGGTTTTATTTGTTTAGTAATTATTCTGTTTGCATTCTCTGAGTTTCGTGGATCTGTGGTATAGTATCTTTCTTTTCTTTGGAAAATTGTCCATCTCATCAAATATCTTTTCCTCGCTCTTTTTCCTTCTGAGATTCCAATTACAAATATATTACACTTTTTGATATTATCTCACACTGTTGGTTGCTGTGGTCTCTTTTAAATTCCCACTCTTTTTTTCTCTTTGTATTTCAATCTGGGCTATTTCTAATGATCTGTCTTCAAGTTCACGGATCTTTTCCTCAGTTATGTCAAATCTACTGGTGAGCCTACCAAAGGCATTCAACTTTGTTATCACATTTTTCATTTCTATTATTTCTATTTCATTTTTTCTAATAGCTTCCACGTCTGCAGGAATTCCTTTTCTGTTCATGCATGTTCTCCACCTATTCTGCTAGAGCTTTTAACATGTTAATCACAGTTTTAAAATTCCAACATCTAGGTCATATGAGTCTAGTTCTGTTGATTGCTTTGTCTTTTGACACTTTGCTGTTTGTCTCGTTTCTTTATGTGCCCCATAACATTTGGTTGGAAGTCAGACATTATGTATAGAACAGTCAAGACTGAGGCAAATAGTATTTATGCCTGGAAATGGGCATGTTTCTTCCTTTCTTAGGCCTTTAGTTTGAGAGAGAAAGTTAAGTTAATCTAGTCGGAAGTGAAGCTGGATTTGTGTTTTATTGTTGCTATGGTGCATTCACAAGTACACCACAGGCTCCAAATTCCTCTAGTATTATCTAGGATTTAGGGTATAGCTCATTTGCCAGAGGGTTTTTCTTTTTATCTCAATGTCTGCTGTTCCACCCTCAGATTTAGGTCTTTTGTTGGTGACTGCACCTCAGAGACCATCTCTTTCCATGCTCTTGGCTCTCCCATACAACAGACCGCCATTTTTCAACACTCTAACTTGGTGGTGAGGAACAGGTAGGGGAGAGTACTCCCTGAGATTCAGCCACAGTCTTGGAGGCTCTCTGCCCCTGGGTCTAGAGGGTGAGAACTTCTCAGTGATCCTACCTGTCCCTCAACCTCAACTGCAGGGAATCCATAATGCTACAGTATGTATTCCTGTCACTCTCCCAAGGTACAGAGGGCTTATTTTCCCTTCTATTCTATTTTGCGGGTATAATAGGTCTGTATCTTTGTCGCAGGATTATTAAGAGTTTGTAATCCTTCCCTAACAGTTTAAAGTTTTTGTCCTAGAGCATGCAGGTAACACTTAGTGCCTTTCCCACAGCGGGTGCCTTTCCTTCCACCAGAATGCACATGAACAAGGCTTTTTCACTCTTTGAGACACTTTCTCCCTGCAAATCTCATTGATCTCTAATTCCTCCTTCCTGTGTTCCAAACTGGATCCTATAAAACTCTTGCCATAGGCCTGCACATCCATCTCCTTTGATTTGGAGATCTGAGTTCTACCAGCTTTGCCTATGATCTGCTAGCCACAAGCATCCCATCTCAGAATCTTCCCACACTCACACGTGATTTTCACTGTATTTTGGCAGCCCTTCACCACAGATTACGATTCAGATTTACTAATATTTCCTACATTTGACAATAAAGAAGTTTTGCATTTGTTTTCCACTCTCCTGGTGGCTTTGTCATTCAAAGAGGAAGAGGTGAAATCTGTTTCTTTAACATGACTTTTTTAGAACCAGAATCTTTGTAAGAAAATTTTATCTCCATTTGAATATCAGTACAAATAAATAAGCTTGGGTACACACATATCAGAATAATAACAACATCAAAAACAAGAATTCGAAGGTATTATATAACCACTAAACAGGCTTTCCATGTTAAAAAAGAATATTGAGGCCGGGCGCGGTGGCTCAAGCCTGTAATCCCAGCACTTTGGGAGGCCGAGACGGGCGGATGACGAGGTCAGGAGATCAAGACTATCCTGGCTAACCCGGTGAAACCCCGTCTCTACT